TTATCCTAACCTTGAAAAAAATATTCAAATGGATTGCAACACAGATGACATTGTATTATGGCACTCCAGAAGAGACATTCAAGAATCTGGAACAGTGAATGGGATCGTTATAGCTTAGAACTCAAGATTAATGCTGAAAAGACTGATTCATAATGAAGACATGCTCAAAATACTTGGGAATCACCTTAGATCGAGAATTAATATTCACTGAGCATATCGAAACTTATGCTGTCAACACTTTGAAAAGATTTAGAATCATTAAAATTTTTTGTGGAACAAACTGGGGGAGTTTTCCCGGGACACTTAGAACAATACAGTTCTCACTAATTAAACCGGTCATAGAGTATGCTTCTCCCATTTGAACTCAAGCTTTCACGATTTTCTTGGAGAAATTGGAAAGTCTCCAGGAAAAGGCCGCAAAATCATTACTGGTGCAGCGTCTTCTACCAATAATTTAAGAGTAATTCAGGAATGTGGCCTTGAAAGCCTCTAGAAAAGAAGACAGTATAATATAATAAAATTTAATATAAGGTAGGAAGTTATGCACCAAATCACATCACTAGCAAACTATAATGGCAGCACTAGATAGAAAAAGTCATCTTTTATGTAATTTGACAAAGATATTTGAAAATTCTCAGTCTCAATTACAATTATTTTTCCATCTTCAAAGAGCCAATGTTCCCTTCCAAGCTTTCTATGAACTTTTTAAAATAGTACTCAACCTGCTAGAGCCATAAGAAGGTTCTTCTGATGAGACAATCACTAACGATTGTTCAGCAATATTTCTAAATACCCCAGGTAATACTTCTTATCAACACATAATCGGCACTAGAGCCATAATATCTAACTTCACTTGTGAGCTTCTGGCAATAGCTGAGGCACTTGACATGTAAAGCTCCCATTTCTGAACAAGTAAAAGGACACGCTGTCTTCTGTGACTCAAAGGCACCTCTACAGACAATCTTGGATAAAAGCTCCCTGATCACCAATGGGATCCAACAATACACAAGGTCTGCAATCTTCAATGGTTGCCAGTGCATATCAACATCACATGTAATAAGAATACAGATAAACTGTCAAAAGAGGCCTGAAATCTCAAAAATAATAGTGATAATGTCATCCTCTCAAGATAAAAATGCAGTAGCCAAATACAGATTGAAAGGAACATTCAATTCCAATAAAACGCCAGCTCCAAAACATCCATGGAGATCCACTTATAACTAAAATCACAGTCAGGCTTAGAACTATCCATTGTACCGGATTGAAAATTAGGAAAACCTAAACTGTCTGAACATAGAACTGAAAACTGCACATAAGTTTTACTGTCCAGCCATCCTTGCCAAACTGTTAAAAATTAGGATCTTGTTTACGAGACCGAACCCCCAACAATGATAACATTTTGCTGATTGCCAGAACTGTCATCTTTACCCATTGCACTACTTGGTAGGCTTCATCATACACAAGATGACAACTTAATTCAGGATAAAAAGCTAACTATTACAAAAAAATTCATACAACACAAAAATGAACTCTATATTTTTATAATAGAAATTGTGTTGTATAATATTTAAACAAGTTTTGCCATACAGGATGTGTCAAAAGTTGAGTTTCGAAAATGTCATACATCAGATTTTTCTATATTGGAATTACCATTAATATAAAGAAACTACATATAACAATGTTCACAACTGAATAAATAGCAAAATTTAATAATTTAAAACTGCTTTAGGTAATACGTTTAGAAAGCATATAGAACCTATTGTGGATTAATCATAAATATATGTGAGGCAATGTTGATCCTTGAACATAGGTTCACAAATGTTTTGAATATTTGAGGCTGTCTAGAATGTCCTTAAATCTCATACGAAGGTGATTTATGTACCCAAAGTAAAAGATAAATGGTAACTTTTGCTATTTCTACTGCAAGCAACTTATCATCAATACTTCTCTTGCTGACATTTTCTTGATTTGACAACCCCCCCCCTTTTTTTTTTTTTTGCTTTAGAAAAACCTTGAGGATTGATAAATCACAGAAAATTCAGTAGTTCAAAAATAACATCTGTGACAAATATTCAAGGACTACAGGTAGTTATTACAGCTGTGAAGAATGAATGCTATGAAAAAATTATGTGAAGCCAAAAAATGGAGGGCTATTTCATTACAATTTTTCTAATTAAATTAAATTTATTTCTAATGTTTGAGTTTTTAACTTTGCATAAAACTATTTATATGAATAGTAAAAATTATAAAACTTAAAAGATTTTTAAACTGCTGATATTAAATATGCAAATGTCTCAAACTGGCGCCCAAAGCAATTTTATGCAGCCATTTCGATTATGTATTTGTTGCAATTGTGCGCTGCAGAGATTTTAAGAATTCAATTATTTAAAGTCCGATTTTACATTTCATTATCATTATCATTAAAAATCCATTTCATTGTTATTAAAAATGAACAATAATAATGCGCAAGAACTCTATAAATTGCATTAACTCATTTACAATGTGATATAAAAATCTTATTCAAAGATTTTAAGAGATTTGGTTAACTTTTATTCATGCTTTTAAAAAAATAGATTGAGTAACGAATTTTTGCACTAAGAATAATCACTTTCTTTTGGAATACATATATATCTGAACAGCTATTTTCGCTGATGAAAATCAATATGAAAAGTACCAATTAATTAATGAGCATTTACGATCCATGATGAAGACAATATCAAGTCAAATTTTCTTTAAGGCTACAAAGTATATCAGAATCAAAATGCCATTAAGCATCAAGTTGTAGTAAGAAACAACGAAGTTTATAATTATTTGCATAGATTCATATATTTTAATTTGTGTGTTAAAGAAAAATCTAATAAATAAGAGAAAGGAACTAAGTTATTATTTATCCTCAAGTTTTGTGTAAGTTACTATTTATCCCCAAGTTTTGTGCCACTACAAAAGTTTTTCTGAAAACTTAGAAAGTTTTCATAATTTGCTCGTTTACAGTTTAAAGTACTTAGTTATTTAATGATTAATTAAAGATATTAGAATTGTTTGAATATTAATATTTATCTATTAGCATTCTTAAATTACAAAATGTAAGCAATACAAATGTACTGCAGATACCCAATATTAGTATACTTGAATTACGAAATTCAAGCAATAAAAATATACCTAAAATACTGCAGATACCTAACATAAAAACATAAATTTGATATAAAAAATTTGAATATATAAACATAAATTTGAATTATGGATATAAACATAAATTTGAATTTTCCCACCTGTGTTATTATTGTTGTTTCCGTATGTTTTAAAATAAATTTATTAGCAAAATTTAGTTAAAATATTTTTCAATTTGTTGATAAAGAATTTTCATTTTGCTAAAAAAAATCCTGGTCTGTCAGATCATGCCTATGGCTCACATGCAATTTGAGTTTGAGACCATTGAAACATGCAACGTTTGGAACACCCTATATAATATTAAATAAGTTTTATACATATACAGCACATATATTTTAGTAAAGTAGAGGTTTTAAACTTTTCAGCTCCATTTATATGAATCATCTAGAATGTCAATATTAACCCGCGAGCACACGCGGTGGGTATGTCATACCCATGTGCATTTTTCTTTTTGTATATTTCTCGCCCATTCTTTCATAAAAGGACGAAACTTGGTGTACCTGAGTTCAAGGTCACATACTTAAATGGGGGAAATTCCTGAGGTAGCAAGTGCAACGGTTTTTTAGGACCAGCATTGTTCGGGCATGTCACACCTGCTCATGTACTGGTGTTTCTCAGTGAGTCACTTCACACTTCTCGTTTTCAAGCTTTAGTATAAGTTTTTTCTTGAGTTGTAAGCATGGGGCCGTATATCCTTACGATGAAGAGATGAAAAGATTGAGAAATCTCTTGAAACAGTTCTCTTTGATGAGGATTCATTTAGTGAAGAAGAGGAAAATGTTGATGACGAAGAATATAATTAGTAATCATGATTCATCCATATAGAGTAGTGATTCAGATACAGAAACAGAAAATGAAACTCTGGAATGTAGCAATGAGTTTTATGTTGGGAAAAAATGGAGTAAAATGGAACAAAACAAATTTCCGGACTAATGTTAGAATTGGAGGCCAAAAATATTATAGCTAAACTCCCTGGAAATACAAAGTATTCTAAAGACGTCTCAACACCATCTAGAGTCCTTGTCATTGCTTATCGATGAAGATAGTATGTTAAAACATGTAGTTGATAAAACAAATATTTATATTGATTCAATATGAGAAAATTTCACTCGTGATCGGGATGAGTACTTTTCTCAAAGCCTTAGGGATGCAGCTAATAGAAAATGTTCAAAATGAACGACGACGAGCATCTGTGGTTTCTGATTCTGGACGAACACTGACCACCGATGAACATGTTAACAATGGACCGCCCTCCAAAAAACCTGAAATGACTTACAAGAGGTGTACAGAGTGCTCCAAGAAAAACGATAGAAAGACTAGATTCATTTGTGAAAATTGTAGCAAAAGTATATATATGGAACATATGACTCCATTTTGTAAACAATGTTAAAAAATGTAGTAAATAAATTTTTCCTCTCCTTATTGTTTCCTATTTTATCCAAAATGAAGTATTAACTTGGTTTTACATTTTAATTCCTTTTAAAAAACTGAATAATTTTTTCGGCAAATTTTTATTTACAATTTTTTTATTCGGGTATGACATACCCAACGCGTGGTCTCGTGTTCGTCGGATCGGTGCGTGTGCTCGCAGGTTAATCACTGATATTTGGTTTCTTTATGAAAAAATATTTCGAATGTCCATACTTTTACTATTTCATTCAAAAGCATGAAACTACAGTATCGTTGCAAAGCACTTATAACTGAGTATCTGTGCAATTAAATCTAATATTCTATTAGTTTAACTCACTGCATGAGAATTTACATTGATAAAATTAACTATGTATTATGATGCCTTTGGCTCAATATAAAAAAATCAAAATAGCATCACATTATTTCAAATGACTTTCCTTTTTATTTTTACAATTTTTTTGCCTAATGTATTTTAATCCTACCACACTTTACAAATCTACATTATAGCTCTGAAATGATCTCATAAAACAAAATGCTTGACTTAAGCAATCATAATACAAAAATAAGACCTCTCTGCCCTGGTGACTTACTTTCACACTAATTTTTATATTATAAGAGATTATTCAAATTATACATATTTACTGAATGGCAACATATGTTAGCTTTTAATACATTGACAACTTATTTATAATTTTCAAAACTTCAATTAATAATATTTTACATATATAATTTATAATTTTGTTATATGAAATAAAGTTTACATAATCAAATATTAAATAATTATCATTTTATTATTCTTACAAAAATATTTCAATTCCATAAACATTTAAAATTTCAGGCACTTAATAAGCACAAATTAAGATCTAAAAATGTAAAAATATAGTAAAAAAATACACACATGGAAATAAATTAAACCAAAGTGATAGATACAAATAAACCATCTAATAAATTAAATGGGGCATTAATAAATGAAAAAAAATATAAAATGACAAACCAAAAATGCGTTTTTAGAAAAATACATAATAGAGAAAATTTTGAATGTCACTGCCAATAAGCAATTCAACTAAACTGTTGACTTTATTACATAAGCTGTAATGTATATAATACTCAGTGGACCAAATGTCATAAATTCACATAACCTTTTTTCTTACATATAAAGCACTTTTCTTATAATGGACTGGAAGCATTAAATCTCTTTTCATAAAGAGTACTTTCCTATCACAGACTGGAAACATACTGAAAAATACCTCATATCATACTCTTTATCTGTAATACACTGAATATAATTCCACTTGACTTCGACATAATAGAACTTTCACATTTATACATAAATCTAAATTTCTGAAATCCTATATTTTCTTTAAGTTCTCTTTTTCTTTCTCATTCAGATTTGAAATCTTGAGATATGTGTTTTGGTACGAAAAAAAGTTCTTAGATACTGCAACTGTCTTACAAATTGTATATTTTGAGCACATACATGTATGGCTAATATAAAACAATACATGTAAAAATGTGGAACTGTTTCTCATCTTAAAAGCTACAAATTCTTTGAAATTATTTAATCAGCTAACCCTTGAAATATTGTTTCATATTTCACATAAAAGTTAAACTTCCTAGAATGCCAAACAGGAGTTTCATAAAATTTAAAACACTCAAAATAAAACTTTCAAAATGTTAATTAAGCCTCCAGTTAAACTAATCTCTGTTACATAATAAATTTGACATAATTTCACTTACATATACAATACCTAATTCTTAGCGCAAAAAATGTAAAAAGCACAGTGCATATAAAATTCCATGATGGCCACATAACACAATTTGGCACATACATATAAGACTTTTTTTTTTTTTTTTGCCTAATGCAGCTACAGGTGAAATCATAAAACGTGTTAGTCATTTAATTGGCTGCTAAAACAGTAAATACAGAAGCAAATCTTTACCTATTGTCTACATATCACAAATTGTACTTTTTTTTTTTTTTTTTTTTGAGTATTTGTTACAAAACTTCAATACTTAATAAACTTAAGACACTTTAATTATATTCATAAATAGAACTTCAAAAATTTTATTTTAGTTATTACTCATAAGTTGGCTAAGAGCAGTAAAGCAGGATAGAAGTGGGCAGGGCTGATGTCAGAACCAGTGCAGTCGCATCATGCAGTAGGATTTAGGGGCAGCAACATTTTTAGAAATAAGGGAAGTAACAATCAGCAAAATTTAGGAATAAGAAAATTCTTAAAATTTAAAACAGACACTAGGTAACAAAATTTTTACAATTTAGGGAAGATCATGGCAGCAGAATTTAAGACCCACAAAGACTGCACTGGGTAGTGAAATGCTTTGTGCTGGCCCTTGTAGTAATAAGTAGGCTCATATTTCTTGCCTGAAAAACTAAGAGACAAATACATATTCATGGATATAGATAAACTAGTCTAGTTATATATGTCACTGAATATGTACTGCCCTCTTTAGGCAGATTTACAAACTAATTGTGAGTAAAATAATCTCCAGGTAATGGATTTGGCATGAAGTGGAAGACAAATTATTTTTATTGATTTGCTAAATTTATATCTAATAAATTTTAATTGATTTTTTTTTTTACATTTTTTATTGTAGAAATATATTTATAGTCATCTTTATGCAACGCATTGCTTAAATTAAACTTTAAATATTACCTTGAATTTTCTTTTCTTCTGGGACAGCATATAGCAAAATTTGAAAATGAGCACAATACAATTAAAATTTTTGGGTAGCTATACAGATTTATATCAAAGCATTTTTTTGAACTGGAACTTCAATACCAGTGTGATATGTAGACATTTTGATCTAGCTCATAACATTAAATAATCTCAATTATGAACATTAATATCACATTAAAGTAAACCAAGTGGTAACTTTTATTATGATACTGATAGAGGCGACCAGGATTTGCAATTGGCCTCTTGAAACCACCATTTACTTACATTTATATAAGTTGAACTTTTCATTTTGGCTTCATTTAACATACGACAAATTTTACAAGCGTAATGCTCAGAACTTAGTTCATGAGTTTGTTTCCATGCAAAAAACTGATTGTATCTTTTGTCATCTTTTGCGATCTCAAGTAAATATTGAGCTAAATCTCTGGGAGTTTTGAAGGATAATGCATCGATAAAAGAATGTGGTGGTGCTACAACAGAATAATTAGCTCCTCCTAAAACAACTGGTACCATATTTGTGTTCAAGACATGATAAAGTTTCTCTGTTACATAATCTTTACAAATAGAATTTTCAAATGAAAGGTAATATCTGTACACTTTACCTAATTTTTGATAACATTCATCAGACATTTTTGGCAAACAAGAATACTGCCCACAACTTCCATAAATATGTACTGGTATATATTTCTGTAATTCTGCCACATATTCCTCTCGCCTGCTTGGAGTTTTACAATTACTAACAAGCCACACTACCATTCGTTTTTTATTTCGTGCGTAATTTGTCATATCTGTTATTGGATGACTTCGTTTTTTGACCAATGGTGTAAGTAAAATTTCTGAATCAAATCTGTAAGTAGCAGTCCAGTTGAAAACACCATCAAGATTCTTAAGTATGTCAGGAGTATGAGGAGGAGACTCGTGGTGAACGAGTATCCATATCTGTTTTGGCATTCGGAAAGCAGGCATATCATGCAAATCCATATCCCGCAAATGAAATATCACTGCATCAGTTTTATTTAAGAATGAGCGATCTGAAGTAATGGAACACTTTGGTAATGGACAACCAAGACTAGATAATTTTGGTATAAAATCGGGAGCACCAAAAAATTTTGTCCATAACAGAATTGTTTTAGATCCTCGCATTTGAATTAAACTATCAGTCAAAATTTTGACATGTTTCCAATGTTTTTTCTGCCAAGGATCATCAGTAACAGCTTCTGTTTCTTTAAACCAGGTATATTCTCTCCATAAGGAAGCTATTTGAGAGGCAAGGATCAAAAGAATAAAAACTGTGAGAAGAAGAAGACACTTTTTCAGCTGCCTCATAATTTTCATGGGCAAAATCAACATTTACATTTTGGAGGCTTTACAAATATGGATCAAACTTCAATACTGTAGCTGAAAGAAAATTAAGAAAATCATAAATATATTTTTAACAAAGAATTTTAACGAAAATTGTACAAAATACAATATATATTTTTAGAGCTCATTTGTCATTAAGTCTTTAAAAAAACATATTTCAAAATTTTTAGATTTCAGAATATGATAGCTTCAATACTTGTACACAACAAAGAAGTGTAAATAAATTGGTCATATTTAACACAAAAGAAATAAAAAATTTTACATATTTTTGAATTGCTATCAAATATACACTAACAATCTCTTACTGTATTACTAAATCTAAACATCCTTTGTAAAAAATATGGCGATACTGCACCGTTTTACTTTTCGCATAGAAAATTATTTTTACAGTTGTATACGGTTAGAGTAGACTGAAGGATTGCCCCTTGTATTATCGCAAAGTTGTTATTTCATTTATCGCCAAGTTGTTGTTTGAGTTATGGTGACCTGAGTAGTTGAATATTATGGAAACCCTATTATGACGCAATCGGTTGCACAATTCCTGTAACTTTTGTATGACGGGAAAAAGATTTGTAAAGGCTTGTGGTGCGTGTTGGTTAGGAAGTACATTGCTTATTTTGTTGGAATTTTAGATGGTTGAATGTGGTAAAATTAATTTGAAGTTTCTGTATGATTTGGAACAAAAGGGGAAAAGTGCATTAATTAACTGGTGTGTAAAAGCCAAAATAACAAATCAAAGAATTGCACAAAGTTGGTATCCATGTATCGCCAAAAATCGCCAATTTTCACCAAGGGGCACCCGTAATTATATTTTTACCTTGTATACTATTTCAATAATTAAAATCTTTCCCAGATAGTTATTATTAAATGTATCAGACTTTAAATTTTGTGTAACTGCTTTATTGATGATGGATTACTTTAAAAAAAGTCTTGCATATGCATGATTGTTTCTTATTCCTAATCATAAAGCAAAAAAATTTTCAATACACAGGTCAAATAAAAATCATTTGATCTGAAATATTAATTCTGAGAAGGCATAAAGATTTGCACATGTAATTGTGCCCTTGTAATTCTCAAATACCATTTACAAAAGGTAAAGTGCACTGTCTTTCTTAATCCCTTACTGATCACTGGCACTACATATCACTAAAATTCCTCTTGTGTCATTGCAATAATTATATTTAGTTAGTATTCAAATCAGGTAATTTAATGTTCAAGTAAAAACATGTTTAAGCAACAATTACTAAACACGGGCAATTTTTAATTCTATTCTGCTATCTTAATTAATTTTTGACCAATTTATATCCACTACATGACAGTACCTACTAAAGCCATAATATTCTTGAATGAGGTCAATCCTTTTGTTTACCAGTATCGTAACTTGTTTTAACTGTGCTTCTGAGGATTTCCGAGTGAATTTTCACCCAGTAATTAGTAGCATTAATGAGCAATTATTTATATTCATGAGTTTTTATTTTTAATACTTACACAGAATTTATTTACTAAATGAAACTTAAAAAATACATAGGTCATAAAAGGACATTTTTTAAACATTTAAAGAAATCTAATAATTCAGATTGCCTTAATATCAAAACTTAAAATGCATTAGTGCAAATGTATTAAGTTAAAACTATTATCAACATTGCTTAATCAAAAGCTCAAAACACAGAAATTAAATTACAAAGCATGCTGTGATGAAATTTTTTAAATGTCATTATGAAACTATATCCATCAAGCTGATCGATATTTCGATCAGCTTGATGGATATTTCGATAAAATAGTAACCAGTTCTAAAAAATATTGCAATTTTATAATATTACTGATTTTCAAAGTTATTTGCAACTTTTTAATACTGTTTATTAATTGCATCAATTTCTAATAATAGATAAGACCTTGATAGATATGATCAATTGCTATGAAATCGGCAATTTACCACACTGATTGAACACTAAACAAAGGATAGAAAATACTTGAGTAAATTGAGTAATCATTCTGATATGTAACAAGATGTCACTTATCATATGTTGACAAATTTCACAAAATTCAGCAAAAAATATCACCAAGCCACCATACAATAATCTTATAACATGTGGTAAAGAAGATAAAGTGAATGAAGTAAACTTACTTAATCTTCTTCTGAAGAATCTTCCTCTTGGGCAGGATAAACTTGTTTTATGCTTTCTAAAAAGCATGCAAATGACTTTTTTGCATTTTTTCTCCAAATATATTCAGCAAAAAAAAATGCTTGTTGTTCTTCTTTCCTCGCAGAAGATGCATTCACTGCAAAGTCCATTCTTGTGTTGTTCAAATCAGAGTTTGAACTTTGAAATTTAAAACAAAGATTACTGCTAACAGCAAGATCCTGAAAACTTTTATCCTCCAAACAGGAATATGTTTTAAAACAATCAGAGACTATTGTTGTTCCTGGCAAAATATAAGACTTAATAAAATCTAGAAAGCTTTCTTTACTCCCATCTTTGACTACTTTTAAAAAATATTTATTGCTTCCTTTTTCAACACCTCCAAAAATCCATTTACCATCTGATATTTTTCTCTTGCTATACTTTCTCTTTTCCAACTTATTCCCAAAAATTTCAATAATAATACCATCACCACCAACTTGATTCATTTTGCTGTGACAAAATTCCAGACATAACTCCCTACAAAAGCGCTTCCAGTCTGAAACAGTCTGACTACTCATACTTAATTCATGTTCAATAAAACTATTTGACACTTTGTGAACCCAATAATACGAAATGAGTAGCACTCTTACTATACTTAGACGACTCTCAGCAAACCATGAGCCTTTCCTAATACCCCGCCTAATACTATGACCCCCTAGACGACAACGCCATTCAAAACCATCTGTAGTGTTTTTCCTTTCAGACAATTTCATAGCTTTCTTACACTTTGGGCATTTATACTTATTTGTAATTAAACCTTGATCCACACACCAATCAAATACATATTTCTTACCCTGGGATTCCAACGAATGGAGAAAATGACTAGTTACTTTATCTAGATCCATTTCAAATTGGTATTGTTGAGAAGAAAAACTACATAGGAATGTGTTTTCTCATTCAAATTCAAAATCATGAAAAAAACTAAAATTCACTCAGTAACATTTATTAATACGGCTGAAATGTGATTGCTGTTCTTTTACTTTATGTTCAAGCACAGCTGAACAGTAAATATATTTATACACTACAGATAATAAGAGCAAGTTATCCGAAAACTGCCAATAAATAATAAGGTCACATAATTAGCACAACGAACTATAAACATTTTCACAATATTCAGCATTTTTTGTTTCACATGTAACCAAATAAGAAAAGAGAATTATCATATATTTTTCTAACACATACATCATTTTTATATTTCGTCTGCATTAATATCAATAACAAAATAAGTCAGAACTCTCATATGTATCTCTAAAATATGCAACATTTCAATGCATTTGTACATTCCATGTGCATTTGCTCCAACAATACACCTATGACATTACGATATAAACCTAAATCCAGATCCAAAGAAAATGGCGTGGGCAATAAATACGTCATCAAGAAGATACATTATTATGCATAGTCAAATAATGTAGTTCATAATCAATCTTTTAATGAACTTATTATCTGTGAATGATTACAAGTACTTCAAGCAGTTACATACACATGAAACATTGCACAATACGGTTGACTTCCACACAGAACACGTTGGCGGAATTCAATTTTTGCTCGCCAAGAGGTAATTCGGCGACATCAGCCAAAAAAAAAAGCAATTCTGAAGCAAGTTCTCAGTTCCAAAAGCATTAACTAGGAATTAAGGAAAATAATAGGACACATATCGACATAGGTATCGGACATACATGATTTTAGTATTTTAGTTCAATTGAAGAAACAGTAGTACAGCACGTCAAATTAACGGCACATATCCGGTTAGCAACCGAAAATACGGCAAAAAAATCAGCTGATATTTACGTTACAATTTATGAAAGCATTCTTAGAATATGTTACCGGAAAGTGATTGTGAAGCAGGTAGTAGTCGAAAGGAAAATCTATCAGAACCGAACTAGCGTATGCAAATAATCCGCACATATATTTCAATTTCGCTTTTCACCTTTTAGAAAGAAATATATCTCCTACCTGTGCAGAAGATTCGCTTATTCCGGTAAAAAAAAAAAAAAAAAAAGACTTACTTAGCTCTATTTTCTCGCCAAATGGCAGATAGCATACCATTTATAGTGAACGGACCGATTATTCTAGCAAACAACGGCTGGATGCCTCGAATGCAGAATTTGCTTTCGATTCGACTTCCCTTTCATTAATTGCCTTAATACTTTTTTTATTACTATTTGCTTCGTGATTGTTTTTTTTTTAATTAACATTATTTTTTAATATAACTTGTTATTTTAAATAACATTGATATTATTACATTATTCATTATTCTTAATCTATTTGTGATTTTATTCCAATATTATTCTGTTATTTAATTGGTATACTATCTATTTTTTCCGTACATATTATAATTTTCTTCCCCCCTCTCTTTCTCTATTTTATGAAATCAATACTTTAATAGTTTAGCAATGACAATAACTTCAGAAAAAATATTTTTCTTTCCTATATACAAAACACGAAAATGTGCTTCATTTTTTTAGAGGATGTTCTTTAGATTGAAAATGGTGTACCCTAAAATTCCTGTTTAAATGTCATAGTATGATACTTCACAAAGAATGCAAGTGGTGGCAGTATATGCAATGTTTCAAAGCTAATTCAAGAGCATCATGAATTTTCTGAAAGTTTATTATATCTTTAGAGAGTCTTGATATACCTGAAAAATGTGGCATACCATAATGAATGTGAAATTAAGTATTGTGTCAGCATAATAGCCTCCTGAACTGGGATCATTTTTTTTATTATACTGAAAGGTATAGTCAGTAAGTAGCCTGATTATGTAAAAGACCAAGGACAATTTGATAAAACAACAAGAAACAATAATAATTCATCTATTTTAGTCATATACAATTAACAAATGACAATAAATATATATTCGTTACAACAATTGAAGAATTAATCTGCTCCAGAACAAAAAAACGAAGCTCTTGAGAAAAAAATGACTATGTGACAAAATATAATGGGGAATTGCAATTCATTATGTTTGTTGAGTATGATCAGATAGCACAAAACACTTCTAAGACAATCTGAAAGTGAATTTACCAAGGAAAAAAAAAAAATAGTTTCAGATGTCTGGAAAACCTGTCTCTAGTTTACATGTCGTCAGATTTCACTATTCATCTAAAAAAGTGCCATTATTGTTGATGAGTTAGTAAGTAATATATATATATATATATATTAAGTTGATAGGATAATAATAGCTGCACATAAAAAAATTTACTTTTTTTTCTCACAAGCTCCTCCCCTCCCCAAAAGTGTTAGAGAACTAGAAGGTTTCAAAAATTTAATCACTTAAATTTTAAATTAAATTAATTGGATTAGGTTATTTTTTCCTAGTAATAATCTGTTATATAAAATTCATAATTCCAGAAATAAAGAAATTTAAATAAGTTACCTCTTCTAGAAAATATTTCTGGAATACATTTATAGAAAACTATTAAAGTTGAAAAACTTTAAATAAATTCTGAAGCTAAAAAAGTAAGAGTATATATTCGTTACAACTGAACACACAGCACTGTATTGCATCTTGAACTTAAAAATGCTGCAGAATTAATCATGAACATTACAGGAAGCCACATGCTGGGTATAAATTCTTTACTTTGCAAAGGAAGAATGGAGACTGGAAATTTAAAAACTGAAAAGTATTTGGAAACATTTACCATTTATTGAAAAATAGATAGCAAGGAGTTCCTTGCTATAAAATCAAAAAAATAAATAATATACAGATAATTTAATATGGTTCTCATTAGCATGTTTTTAAATTAATACTGTTTACTGAAACCAAAGCATATGTTGTTTTTATAGAAGTTTAAATTACAATTGAACAGCAGACATCTGATTTGTATGTTTGATCTTTGCACATCTTCATCAAATAAATCACTGACAGCATAACATTGATAAACAGCATGTATTTAAATTTGCTGATGAATGAAATTCTAGAAATGAAAGGAACTACACATTAACACTATATATATATATATATATATATATATTGGCTCTACTGAGAAATTATAAACACTTGTATGCACATGGGTTTATACTAATTCCAAATTTGGAAAAAAGTTCACCATACGACCAGCTAAGCACTTAGCTGCTAACCAATTTAGATACATTTTTATCCCACCTCCACTCCCCCCCAAAAAAGACCATTATTAATTATGTATTTTTTCATGTTTTACTTTTACTTCCTTTTAGTTCTGTAAAAGCAGTTAAAAGAGAATATAAAAGGAAATTGTAAGAAACAAGTGGATGAATTACAGTATTATATATATAATTAATTAACATGATTTAATTTAATATGTCATTTCACATAGATTAATTAAACATGTTAAACGAAAATTTTTTATATACTGGAATTAAATACAATTTCAATTTAGCTAGCAAGATTTTTTTTCCCTTTATGTAAAAATCCAAATTGTTCAATAAATATATTGTTCAAAAACACCAACAAAATACATCAAAGGATGAAATCATCAAAGGAAGATTCTCTTTCAAAATCACCACACATAATCAGAACTCTGGATATATTGAATATAATCAAAAGTTTTAAGGATGTATATAAGGTTATATATTATACACCATATTCTACACTTCAGGTCGAGGATTTTTCATGTACTGAGAATATACAGTGTCTCACAAAAGTGTTTGGACACTTTAAGAATTTGCAGAAAAAGCACTGTAACCCAGAAGTGAATTTGAATATAAAATCCAATATTTTTTCATATTATCTCCACGTAATTTTGAATAAAACCAAGCTTTTTAATCTTCAACAGTGACTTATTATCTTTTTCTAAAATTGAAAATGTAAGGAGGCATAGATAAAACACGCCAGAAAAGTGATCGTATACTGAAACATTTTCGTAAAATTTCATAAATAAAATGATCTTCTTTAAGAAAATCGGAACCAAATTAAGGAAAAGATTGTCTGGCAAAGAGGATTCGATGTGACTCGGCATGATCAGAGATTAATTGTTAGAAAATCTGTGAAAAATCCACGTTTGAGAGTTGTAAAGATTTCTACAGAATTTATTGAAAATTTTTCCACTTATATTTATTTCACTTAAAACTGTTCGACGAATGTTCAGATCAGCTGAATTACATGGGTGCTCAGTTTAAAGAAAATGTTTTGGAAATGCAAAAAATAGAGCTCAGGCTTTTCTTCTCAAAATCAATGGTAAATAAGCCCTAACCATATTGGAATCCTGTCTTATTTGCAGATGAATGCAAATTTAACATTTGTGGTTCCTCTAGGTGTATAATTGCAGGGAGAAAAAATGAAGAGCTTAATTTCAAGAATGGTTGGAACAGTAAAGCATGGCAGTGGAGATGTGCTAGATAAAAGGTGCATATCAGCATAAGGATTAAATAATTTAGTATTTATTGATGGCACAATGAACCATGCTGTTTATTTAAATATTTTAAAACATAATTTAAAATTCTTTACCCAAAATTTGGATACTAGAATCATCTTTACTTTTTATCAGGGTAACATTCCTAAGCACACTGCCTCCTTTTGGGTGTCTATAATTGTCCACAAATTCTGAAAATGTCACCTCAGTAATTAGATTTAAACCCAACAGAACACATTTGGGAGAAAGTGAAGAATCGTCCACTGCTTGGCGCGTTTTTAAGAATTGCACATATTCGTATCCATGTACACATCTATCTATTTTCGCTTAAAAAAACATCCCATGATTGCACAAAAACGGCATTGCTCACTCCCTTTATCCATGTACACATTGACCTATTTTCACTTAAAAAGTCAACGAAAATTGACAAAAATCCAATTCTTCTTACTCTTGTAAAAAGTGCAAAAGAAAAGCCAATCAAATAAGTAGGCGATTCTGCACTTTAAGAAAATTAGAGGTTAGAGTACAAAGACACAACATTAAAAGAAAGAACTATAACGATCGAAACAATAATGATCAAAGAATGGAAGATCATTGAGGCAGATATTACAAAAAAGATGTTTTAATTCTATGCCCAGATGTTTGAAAGCTGTCATAAATACTGCAGGATATACTACAAAATACTAACTGATAGAAATACTCCAATATTTACTAATATGTGCAGATTTCTTTAAAATGTAGGAGGACTTTTGTGAGGTAACTTTTCTATTACTTTATTATTACTGATTTTCCCCAAAAATGTTTTAATATGTTCTGTAATTTTGCTAAGAGAAATTTCTAGAATTTATTAAAAAATTTTCATTCTAAAATACTAATTTTTGTTAATGAATAAAGTATTATTTCACTGAAACTTGCAAGTGTCCGAACACTTTTGTGAGCCACTGCATTTATTGGTTTTAATGCATGTAACTGATTCTGATTATAAACTGATCAATTAATCAAAAGAAACGCTAGATTCTGAAGATATTTTGGGAGTTTCATTAATTAATTTAAATACTAAGCCACAAAAATTCGCACTTACTATTTTGATATGTATGCGCAAAAAAAACAGCAGCAGCACACTTGGCGCAAAGAACTTTGGCAGATTCTTCGTTGCAAACACTTGCAACTCTAGAAAAAACATTGCAACGCCGCATTTGCGGCAGACAAAATACACCGCTAGTGCATCTTAAAGCCAAGTCCATTGGCCCGAAGGAGGAAAAAATAAACAGAAGAATTAAGCCAATCACGATCTTGCTTATTCCGCTCCTATGGCTTCGCACATGAATCCGATGATTAATCAATACAATTTATTTTATCAATAAAAACAAATCAAAATTATGGAATTTTTCACAGAAATACTCGTACATGTCTTTACAGTTAAACAAAGTACAGTCAGTAGTTACGCTTCAAACAACTAAGCATGTTAAACACAACGCAATGCAAAGTGAATCTAAAGCGAAAGCTTATCCGGAAATATCACCGATTTCACGTTGAACTAACCAAGGAGGTTAGAATTCTATTCCATCCTAAGGCTATTCTAACCTCCTTTAAACAAATAACTGACAGCAGATATGAATCGTGCACCTTTGGTCGGTGCTTAGG